CACGAACCGGCCAAGGGTGAATTCACATGGGATTTCCATGTGGGGGTAAATATTGTCTTTTCACTCCATACTGTATAGAAAAACAAACTACACCCAGGACCCATGCTGTTTGATTGAAACTCCAATGTTCTGCTGGAGCAAATGTCACTCACGCATGAGCGCCCTGGTCGGAGCCCATGCTGAGAAAGAGCTAGCATCAGGAGGATGATGGTATATGGTGTCCATGCAGTGATGTTCGGCATTGCAAGAGGTGCATAAGCAAATAGGGAAGGGAGTTACAGACAGACACCAAGACAACGTGGGCAGATCCATGCTCAACATTTGGACTATGTGAGCTTCTGTCATTTCAGAACAGCTTTGAGGAATGAATGGCAATGCTAGTTCATAGATGACTGGAGACCAGGATCAAAGCTGTTCAAATTAAAATAAGCACCATGGGATGTGCTCATTAAGAGCTTGGAGTTTCCAGAGGTTTCATCCCTACTTGAAAATAAAATTATGACAGCTGAGTCAATTTACACCATAGAATGAATACATGGAATAACCCCACCCTATGAGAAAATGTAACTTTTGGCGATATTGTATGAATTCATGATTCATATAAAATTGTTTGATTTTTTTAGAAAATAAAATAAGCATGAAGGTCCACCCCTAAACCTAACCATCAGCGGAGTGTAAGCGGGTTGTACAAAAATATATGAATGAGAAAAATCCTATTAAGTAGTATCACTGTCATGAGGTATGACCAACAAAGTCATGTGGTCCAACTATCATGCAAAAACATGACTTAAACTCTTTAATTATGAAAATGTTTTTAATTTATAAATTAAAATTCATTGTAATAGTTTTTAGGGCATAAAGTCAAAATTGTCAGGGTGGTACAACTGTCCTGTCCAATTTACACCACCATGGCCACATATTAGAATAAATACACTTCTTAGAATAACCTGACCTTATGATCATATGAAAACGCATGAATGAGATCATACGTATTAGCCACCAATTTACCAAAATGTAAAGCAGTTACATTTGCCATTAGAGTGTGTTGCTACAGTTTGAGGTTCACAGACACATAAAAGTGCACAAACGCACATCCAGAAAATTGTTCCATGCTTCACAATAACATATCCGTACAAACACACTGAGGACAGGCTATGGTAATTCAGCTCTCCATGTGGAGAATTACATCAGTATGGGTGTGCGGTGCAGATCCTGTATAAGTGGATGTGCCAGAGGATGATGAATGACTGAGTAAATACCCAGCATCCCAAGAGCCCTGATACAACCAGCCCAAACCCCCATCCATCTGAGCCTGGTCCGCATCACCTCATTTGTCAAGGAAAACCATTTTCTGTGCAGCCGAGCAGCCAGTTTGGGGTTACCGCTCTCTCCCTTATTACAACCGAGGGGATGCATGGAGGTCTCGTACACTTCTTAGGAATTCCTTTCATGATTCTACGCAGCGTTTTTTAAGAGATTCCAAGAATTGCATTTTTGTTTAATCGGTTGACATCCCTTGGTCCTTATTTATCAGCTTGCTTTTGCCACTTCAAAAATGATATAGGTCTGCAAGTGCTACTATGTTGTGTGTGTATATGTGAGCAGGTAAAAAAGAGAGAAAAATAGCAAACTAAATGCAAATAAATATAAATGATAATAATAACAACTACATGAAAATGTGATTTTTAAAATTGTCTGAAGAAAAAGAAAGTGGTGCATGACCCTGCAAAACTCACCACCACAATGTTTTTGGGATGGGTTGCTATGCTGCTGTGGTTAGGGTGGGCTGGGTGGTTGCTAGGGCGTTCTTGTGGTTTCTATCTTGGTTACTAACCTATATCTGAGTCTCTGAGATATTCAAGTCCTTAGATATATGCCGCGTCCTCAGTTCAGTGTGGCTACAGGATTATTTTGCTCATTTTATTATGAACCATTTTTGTCTAGAATGTGAAAGTAAATCTCTATGGAGGTAAAATGTGTATACATTTTTAAGTTCCCATTTACTCCAACGGCAATATATATATATCCCCTAGTGCGATTCTGACACTTTCCAAAAGAGGAATAATAGAGGTTACAACAGAGAAAGATATAACATTTGCAGTTATTCCGCAGCAGGGAATACTATTTTTGTAATTTAAAAACAATAAAATAAACTATAAAAAGAATACTAATACTAATAAATAATAAATTCTACTAAAACGTAATACAAATAAACTATAGCTATATTAGCCTAATTATTCGGAAATGCGTCAGTGGGCAAAATCCCCAAAAGTAACTAAGAGCATATAGGCCTAATGGTGTTGGCTTCCTTACCGAGTACCACTAATGACATGACTGGAATTTACAATAATAAATAGAATGCACTGCGTTTTAATGTAATTACCAGGAAATAATGATGCAGGGTTTCAATGGTTCTTGTACAGTCTTGTATGTATGGGGTCTTATCATAAAGCCCGGGTGTGTGTGAATGGTATTTAGGCTCGAGCTCGACACAAGCACAGAGAGAAACAAAGACTGAGAGCCGTCGTCATTAATCTTAGTCAGTGGCCGGTGCTGGCGCAATCTGCATGACCGGGGCAGTGACAAATGCCACTATGTGACTGCAGCGTCCAATCTCCCCAGCTTCATCTCCCGTTAATGTCACATCCATCAGGCCCGAGCCGCTCGCGCCATGTCGCAGAAAATTAAACTGCTTCCAGATAAGGTCTAATTGCATGGACAAGCGCGCGGTGACGGGGTGGTTGCACAAACTGTGCTTCTCTTGCGTGTGACTTCTTTGAAATATGCACCCCCTTATTTAGAGGATGGTTTAAACAGGACATATTTAAAAGCAATATTTCATTAAAACAACATTGAAAAGGATACCTTAAATACCACAAATAACATACATTCGATTAAAGATTTACATTATTTTGGCCAAACTAAGGAAATTACACTGTGTAGCCTACTGTGCCCACGAGGAGTATTTTTAATTATTATCTAAAAAAATAAAAGTTGTTAGTGTTTTCAAATTGTTTTCAGTGTCTGAGATGGTTATCGATGGATAGAACTGTATTTATTTAACTAAACTCACCTTATGCTAGGTTACACAAAGCTGAACTAGGCTACATTGCTTAATTTTCTTGTTTGTGCCTTGATCCTGCCATACAGCTTAACACTGTCATCTAGTGGTCAAGCTCTGCTTGTAAGCATTAGCTGTCTAATTTCAAGGTTAACAAAACATTTAAAAATAAAATCAAATAAAAAATGATAGAATACACTGCCTTTATTACAAATTACAAAGCCCTCTCAGGCAATATTAGGATATACCGTATTAGGCTACTGGTAAACTGGAACAGCCATCAAAAAGACATCAACTTTATAGTATAGCCCAGAGAGTTAGGGCTGTTTACATTTCCTTTAAGATAAAACTATGGTATTTGTTGGTCATCAAAAGGGCATACAAATATAGCAATGTACAATTAACTTATATACCCTATATGAAATTGTATGGAATGTGTAAAGAATAACTCAAATAGGAGTAAACATAACATTTGTATGAATAAAAGCCCATGTAGGGGTGAATGACAAGGTTAGCCTTAAATTAGGGTGACCATACGTGCCATTTTCCCAGGACGCGTCCTGGCCAGGATTTCTATGTTGCCTAAAACATCTAGGTTTTGGCTTTGTTTGCATGTGCAGACCGATCGGTGTACGACATCAAAGTACCTCGAGAGCATTTTGAAAGCATAAGGAACCGTCTGTATGGTATTTTGATGTCAAACACCGATCGGTCTGCACACGCAAACAAAGCCAAAACCTAGATATTTTAGGCAATATAGAAATCCTGGCCAGGACACGTCCTGGGAAAATGGCACATATGGTCACCCTGCTTAAATGCTATACATAAATATACATAAGTATAGATAAGTATATCCCACCAAGCAAAAGTCAAATGTATTATTAAAGCAGTTGTTAATAATATGTGCAAGAAAACTGGAATAAAGCATCAAAAGGGAGCTTTTAATCGCATCCAACATAAAGTGGGGATTGAAAGGAGCACATACAGAAACAGAAGGGAAGATATAGCCTAGCCTAATATCCTGTACAATTAATACAGTGTTCTATATTGAACTTGTCATCCTTGATTATTTTCTGCACATTATGGGGAAAGTGAGTCACCTCTAAATTTACTGTTGAGCTCTTCCATTATGAGCCATATAATAGACAAAGAATTGAGCTTGTTCACAATATAGACATTATATCATAACATTAAATAATCTATTTCAGACAGAAACAGTCAAGAACGTACTGTATTAACTTTCTGTTAAAATATGTGCGAGACACAGGTTTGATTAATATGATTTAGTTAGTTTGGTTTAGTTTAGTTTCTCCTCTATCTGGTTTTCACACCACATCCCAGTAGGTGGCGGTATTTCACATTAAGCTGGTGCCAACCGCCACAAAACGTAGAAGAAGAAGAAGTAGCATCGCCGTCTATTATCATAAGAACCAGTGCGAGCGAGGACAGAACAGTTGTTAATGAATTGTTCCTTGTAATTATGTATTTCTATCGGAAGTCTGTTGTTGTCAGTTTCGAACACAAACGTCCAAAATTATGACAAATTTAGCAATTCGTCTCTTGACTTAACATCAGGGAATTCCTGCGGGTAAGGTTAAGTTATTGCTAAATTAATTCTTAAGTTTCCACTTCGTGTTAATTTCGCCCCCTGGAAATGTCCTGCTTATTAGTATTTTCTTCTAATTCACTACTAATAAATACATGTCGTGTGAGTGTGTGTCTATTTATCTATCTATATAAATATTTGTTTTCTTTTTTTTTGCAGAGAATGTGATGTGCTTGGTCAGGTTTTATTAAAAAAAAAACCTGATCTGATCACAATTAAATGAATGGCTTAGAGTGGCAGAAGTCTGAAATAACTGCAAATGGACAACAGATGGTTGCTGCACAGATGCTTTTGACAACCTACATGTGATGGAGGGGCTTTCCTAGAGAACTAGATGTCCCAGCACTGACATCAAAATGTATCATGTATCAAATGTATTTGTACTTTTGAAAACCAAAGTATTTGAAGAATTAGATGTGCTTAAGAATGGATGCACTAATATTGTTCTGTCTTTGCAGTGTGTGAAGGGAATGCTTAACATTTCAAGCAAGATGTCAACTCAGAGGCAACTTTCCCTTCTAAATGAAGGAGGTTTGGATCTTCACACTGGACTGAGTTCTGCTTATTCTTCCAAGCCTTCAGATGGTCAGTGGATGGAGGAAAATCAACTATTTGAGGAGGAAACAGAAGCCAGTGCCACAACACAAAGTGAGGACAAGGATGTAAATGTGAAGGTGTTGCAAAGTAAGAATTCTAATGGAAACAAAAGAGTTCATGATTGCCCCGTGTGCCATAAACAATTTGGTGCTCCATCCAAACTAAAAAGGCATTGTCTTATTCACACGGATCAGAGGCCATTTCAGTGTTCTATATGCTGCCGTGCATTCAGAGAACGCTCTCATCTAAAAGTACACCTCAGAACTCATACAAACCCTGTGAAGCAGAGAACACCATCACTCCAGAGCTATAAGGACAACAAAGTGTCCTGTAGTCAAACATCTAAGTCAAGGTTAAAACCTTTTCCAAAAAACCGAACTGCCCAGAACGATACCAGTTCAACATATAAACAAAAGACAGCAGCAACAGACTTAATCGAATCTAATTCAGGTACTGTGGGTGTTAAAATTACAAAAGGACATTGGTGCCCTTTATGTTTAAAATGCTTTAAAGCCCCATCAAAGCTCAAACGTCACATTCTGATTCATACTGGGGAAAGACCTTTTAAATGCTCTGTGTGCCCCAAAGCTTTCCGAGAGAAATCACACTTGAAAGTTCACAAGTGTAAGGAAGAATTTAGACTGGAATGCAACTCCATTTTGAGTGATCGGCAAGTGAAAGAGAACAAGATCAAGCAGAATGCTGACGAAGGTGTTGTGTCACCAGATGTAGTCACACCTGCCGGAAAAAGGATCTTTCCAGTATCCAAGTCTTCTGATCGCATGTGTATGCTTCAACTGAAAAAGAAAAGTGGATATCAGTGTGAAATATGCTTCAAGAAATTCAGTTTCCCCTCAAAACTAACTCGACACCTGTTTGTTCATTTTGACGTCAAGCCTTACACTTGCACAATCTGCAGAAAGTCATTCAAACAGGCCTATTATCTCCAGAAACACCTCAAGGTACATACAGGAAAAAGAAACAATAAATCTAGGTTGAGTAGAGTCCCGCAGAAGCACGAGGCCAAACCTCCAACACCTGGAGCTATAGAAGGAAAAAATAACTGCAGACCAGTTGGTGGTAATGTGTGTTTACCTCAGATATTAGACTCTTTAGAGACCAAAAAGCATACAAAAATTGAATGCCGAAGCAAGCTCAACCAAAATGTCCCATTGACCGAGTCAAATTCAAGTACCATAGAGATTAAAAGCTCTGATGCTTTGAACAATACTCAAATGCAGATCACAACCTCCAGCCCAAGTTACCTTAAGCACAAACAGAAAGGTGTGAATCAGTGCAGCATCTGTCTGAAGAACTTTCCGTATCCTTCTAAGCTCGCCAGACATATTTTGAGCCACACAAATAGCAGACCATTTAAATGCCAAGTGTGCTTGAAATCATTTCGATATCAGGGCCATTTGCAGCTTCACGTGAGGATCCACAAAAAAAAGGGTTGGAATATAATTACTGGTCATTTGGAACATGATCATACAGTTTCTTTTAGTAATGCTGAAAAATCTAAAGACCAAGATGTGCAAATATCCAAACAAGATGGAGCTGAAGACTCTGCTACAGCTAACCAATGTCAGAATATGGTTATAGAGTCTCAGAAAATGAGTGGTGACTCCAGTGATTCCATTGTATATTTACAAGTTTCCCTTCTAAATGAAGGTTTGGATCTCCACACTGGACTGAGTTCTGCATATTTTTCCAAACCTTCAGAAGACCAGTGGATAGAGGAAAACCAAGAAACTGAGGAGGAACAAGAAGCCAGTGTCACAACACAAAGTGAGGACAAGGATGTAAATACAAAGGTGTTGCAAAGAAAAAATTCTAATGGAAACAAAAGAGTTTATGATTGCCCCGTGTGCCATAAACGATTTGGTGCTCCATCCAAACTAAAAAGGCATTGTCTTATTCACAGGAATCAGAGGCCATTTGAGTGTTCCATATGCTGCCGTGCCTTCAGAGAATGCTGTCATCTAAAAGCACACATCAGAACTCACAATGTCCCTGTGAAGCAGAGAACACCATCACACCAGAGCTACAGAGACAACGGTGTGTCCTGTAATCAAGCGTCTAAGTCAGGGTTAAATCCCTCTCCAAAACAACCAACTGCCCAAGATGATACCAAGTCAACAGATAAAGAAAAGTCACCAGTGCACCAAGATCAAAATATGGTTGCAGAGAATATGGCATCTCAAAAAATGAGTGGTCACTGCAGTGTTACAGATGTATATTTGCAAGATTCTCTTCTAAAGGAAGGAGGTTTGGATCTTCACACTGGACAGAGTTCTGCATTCTTTTCCAAACCTTCAGAAAGCCAGTGGATGGAGGAAGACCAAGAAAATGAGGAACAAAAACCCAGTGTCACAACACAAAGTGAGGACAATGATGTAAATGTGAAGGTGTTGCAAAGTAAGAAATCTAATGGAAACAAAAGAGTTCATGATTGCCCTGTGTGCCATAAAAGATTTGGTGCTCCATCCAAACTAAAAAGGCATTGCCTTATTCACACGAATCAGAGGCCATTTGAGTGTTCCATATGCTGCCGTGCCTTCAGAGAACGCTCTCATCTAAAAGTACACGTCAGAACTCACAATGTCCCTGTGAAGCGGAGAACACCATCACTCCAGAGCTACAGAGATAACAAAGTGTCCTGTAATCGAGCATCTAAGTCAAGGTCAAATCCATTTCCAAAACAACCAACTGCGCCAGATGATACCAAGTCAACAGGTAAAAATAAGTCAACAGTGCACCAAGGTCAAAATATTCTTACAGAGAATATGGCATCTCAAAAAATGATTTGTCACTGCAGTTATCCAGATGTATATTTGCAAGATTCTCTTCTAAATGAAGGAGGTTTGGATCTTCACACTGGACAGAGTTCTGCATATTCTTCCAAACTTTCAGAAGGCCAGTGGATGGAGGAGAACCAAGAAACTGAGAAGGAACAAAAAGCCAGTGTCACAACACCAAGTGAGGACAAGGATGTAAATGCGAAGGTGTTGCAAAGAAAGAATTCTAACGGAAACAAAAGAGTTCATGATTGCCCCGTGTGCCATAAAAGATTTGGTGCTCCATCCAAACTAAAAAGGCATTGCCTTATTCACACGGATCAGAGGCCATTTCAGTGTTCTATATGCTGTCGTGCCTTCAGAGAACACTCTCATCTAAAAGTACACGTCAGAACTCATACAAACCCTGTGAAGCAGAGAACACCATCACTCCAGAGCTATAAGTACAACAAAGTGTCCTGTTGTCAGACATCTAAGTCAAGGTTAAATCCCTCTCCAAAACAACCAACTGCCCAAGATGATACCAAGTCAACAGATAAAGAAAAGTCAACCGTGCACCAAGATCAAAATATGGTTACAGAGAATATGGCATCTCAAAAATGGATTGGTCACTGCAGTGATCCAGATGTATATTTGCAAGATTCTCTTCTAAATGAAGGAGGTTTGGATCTTTACACTGGACAGAGTTCTGCATATTCTTCCAAACTTTCAGAAAGCCAGTGGATGGAGGAAAACCAAGAAACTGAAGAGGAACAAGAAGCCAGTGTCACAACAAAAAGTGAGGACAAGGATGTAAATGTGACGGTGTTGCAAAGAAAGAATTCTAATAGACAAAAAAGAGTTTATGATTGCCCTGTGTGCCATAAACGATTTGGTGCTCCATCCAAACTAAAAAGGCATTGTCTTATTCACACAAATCAGAGACCATTTCAGTGTTCTATATGCTGCAATGCCTTCAGAGAACGCTCTCATCTAAAAACACATGTCAGAACTCACAATGTCCCTGTGAAGCAGAGAACACCATCATTCCAGAGCTACAGAGACAACAGTGTGTCCTGTAATCGAGCATCTAAGTCAAGGTTAAAACCCTTTCCAAAACATCTAACTGCCCAAAACAATGCCAGTTTAACAGAAAAACAACAATCAACAGTTCACCATGATGAAAATATTGTTACAGAGAATATGGCGTCTCAAAAAATTAGTGGCGACTGGAGTGATTCAGATGTATATTTGCAAGATTGTCTTCTAAATGAAGGATGTATGGATCTTCACACTAGAGAGAGTTCTGCATATTCTTCCAAACTTTCAGAAGGCCAGTGGATGGAGGAGAACCAAGAAACGGAGGAGGAACAAAAAGCCAGTGTCACAACACCAAGTGAGGACAAGGATGTAAATGCGAAGGTGTTGCAAAGAAAGAGTTCTAACGGAAACAAAAGAGTTCATGATTGCCCTGTGTGCCATAAACGATTTGGTGCTCCATCCAAACTAAAAAGGCATTGCCTTATTCACACGGATCAGAGGCCATTTCAGTGTTCCATATGCTGCCGTGCCTTCAGAGAACACTCTCATCTAAAAGTACACATCAGAACTCATACAAACCCTGTGAAGCAGAGAACGCCATCACTCCAGAGCTATAAGGACAACAAAGTGTCCTGTAGTCAAACATCTAAGTCAAGGTTAAATCCCTCTCCAAAACAACCAACTGCCCAAGATGATACCAAGTCAACAGTGCACCAAGATCAAAATATGGTTACACAGAATATGGCATCTCAAAAAATGATTGGTCACTGCAGTGATCCAGATGTATATTTGCAATATTCTCTTCTAAATGAAGGAGGTTTGGCTCTTTACACTGGACAGAGTTCTGCATATTCTTCCAAACTTTCAGAAAGCCAGTGGATGGAGGAAAACCAAGAAACTGAGGAGGAACAAGAAGCCAGTGTCACAAAAAAAAGTGAGGACAAGGATGTAAATGTGAAGGTGTTGCAAAGAAAGAATTCTAATGGACAAAAAAGAGTTTATGATTGCCCTGTGTGCCATAAACGATTTGGTGCTCCATCCAAACTAAAAAGGCATTGTCTTATTCACACAAATCAGAGACCATTTCAGTGTTCTATATGCTACAGTGCCTTCAGAGAACGCTCTCATCTAAAAGCACACGTCAGAACTCACAATGTCCCTGTGAAGCAGAGAACACCATCACACCAGAGCTACAGAGACAATAGAGTGTCCTGTAATCGAGCATCTAAGTCAAGATTAAAACCATTTCCAAAACATCTAACTGCTCAAAACAATGCCAGTTCAACAGAAAATCAAAAGTCAACCGCACACCAAGATCAAAATATTGTTACAGATGATATGCCATCTCAAAAAATAAGTGGTGACGGCAATGATTCAGATTTATATTTCTCAAAAAGTACTAGTCCTTTAGAGAAGTCAGAGGTTGTTTTCCAGTGCAACAACAAATCAGTTTGGGGTATGACAGATAAAACTGACATATTGCTTGATGGGAAAAAGGCATCTGACATCGTGCCCTTTGGCAGGATGAGTGACTGTCCACCCAAAACTGACTCATCTCTCCATCACTGTGCTTCTGAATCAAGAATTGGAAAATGGGCACATCACATGGATGATATTAAAGATTGTGTCTTCGTGGACTCGGACACTGTTAAATGTGTCCCTGATTCTTACGAGCCCAGTTCTTGCCTGTATCAACAGAAACCTGATGTGCCCGGACTCAGAGAAATTGTTGTTGTGGGCCTTTTGGACTTTCAGGATCCAGGTGAATGCTTTACCAAGCCTCCACATGACCTTCCCGTTTGTCCTGACTGTAGTCAGTGTTTCCCTACGATAAGGAGCTTATATGCTCATAAATGTGCAAACAGATATTCTGAAGGGAAAATAAAGAAATCCCACCAGTGTGACATTTGCTTAAAATTCTTCAGTGCACCATCCAAATTGAAGAGACATTGTGTTACTCACACTGGTCAGAGGCCGTTCCAGTGCACACAGTGTCAGAAGTCCTTCATGCAGTCCCATCATCTGAAAACACACATGCTGTCCCACAGGTAGAAGGGTTACTCTAGGGTTGCCCAAAGATATGACCAAACCAAAAGGGTTTTCACTGTAAATTAGTTGTGTTCGATGTAGTTTTTTGCTAAACAGAAACAGAATTTGAAACCATAATTATTGTAAATAATGTCTTATGACAAATTTTGTTCTTTATTTTATTTTTACATTTTTGGATTTCCTGTTACAGTATGATGTAACCATATATGTGTGTGTGAAAAAAAAAATGTATTTCCCAATTTAAATGTTGGTTGTTCCATTGTTTTTTGTTTTTGTTTGTTTTTTGTTTGTTTCTTACAAATAAAGTAATTTGCAGCACTGAAAGAAATGTACATCAGATATCATTACAACATGGCATTTGACGATCTATTTGTAATTTTTCAGACTTATAAACTCTTGCTATTATTCATTCATTTTATTCAGTTGTCTACTACACAATGGTGATCATAGTGTGGTGTAATTTGCAGTAGTTCCATGTATGTCCACTAGATGGTGTAATTTGTTTTCTCACCCTTAGCAATTGTACACTTATGGTCCACCGCAAATGTCTATATCACTGAAATTATATATCATTATGGCTTTTACAGCGCTACCAATCAGGTATTGTATAGTATATTAGGCCAATATATAGTATGACTGACATTAATGTATATTCTATATAAAAGCCATCAGCCTATCAACACATATTATACATTACTTTTTAAACTTAACCTTATTTTTGTAATCTTCTTGAGTCCTTACAGTTCCCTTCAGTAGCCTAGAAGTAATATGAGTAGAGAGGTTAGAGTTTAAGTAGGAAACTATATAAAAAAAATCCTAGGTCAATCTAACCAAATATTTCCTTAAAAGAGGAGTGAGTGTTTATTTAATTATTAGATTATTTTTACTTCAGCAACCCAAAGTCCAATCATAATAATGGCTCATCGCTAACAAGAAATCACTCTGTGTACCTGTAGGCTTTATTCAAGTTGAATAAGTGTCTGCTGTTCCTGGGGACAAGTTCACCTCACTGGACAAACTGTCCTCTATGTTATGCCAAGTTTTAATGGTATGTATTAAACTCTGATTGGTTTCATTAAAATAGTGGAAAAATAGGGGATTTTGTTTAGTCCTCATGTCACAAAATTAATAAAGTTAGAAAATCATTATGAGAATACATAGCCATGTCACCTCCACTACCTTTAATTCCCAGAAGAGGTGTTTATCTTGACACTAGTATGTCAACATTTTGGAATATTGCTTACTCGGGGGGGGGGGGGGGGGTCAAGGGGGGGGGGGGGGGGGGGTCATAAATCTGTTGTGGGTTAGTTCACACTCTTATCAGTATTCAAGTTACATTCTAGGTCACCCTCAGATTAAGCTTTGTTCTCATCATTTACATTTCTCTTGAGGAGGTTAACACCAAGTCTAATCCAATGAAAATCTCTATCTGATAGGATCATCAAGTCATTTAGGTCAAATACATTGTTAAATGTTGGCTAATGATGTTTTATGGTGAGACAAAGGGATTTTGTTTATCCCGTCTAATATATCCACAAATGCTTGTTCAAGCGCTATAATTTCATAGTCATGTATTGCTTTTCTGCTCTTTAATGCATGACCCAGAGCAATGAGTGAATATTGTCCTGCCAAGCGGATGAACATTTAACATGCAACTCACAACTGGCAGGTCATTAGTGCAACAACAAATGGCTTCACTAATACTTACTATGCTGATTCAGAATTAGGGAACTTGCGCTGCGTCCTTTAGCAGACACTTTGGGGACTGCCGCCAGCAGGACCGGTATCTGAAGCACATGCGAAACAATTCCAATCCCATTGGCTCATGTAGCCTGTGACATCATAGACGGGTGCCTGCAAGTATAAGTGGGCGCCTGCCAAAGACATCACTTTTGTTGTCTTCAGTAGCTTTGTAGCACTGTAGTTTGACAGTGCGTGTGAAGGTGTTATGGAGAAAACCAAGGCAGGTGAGCATTTTAGAAAGTGTGTGCCTCCGTGTCCTAGGTTTCTGACAACCGAGGACACACACAATCTATGTGTTATCTGTCTTGGTGTGGAGTACGCGCGTTCAGTGCTCGAGGGCTCTGAATGTGCTCTTTGTGATAAATTTCCAATGAAAATGCTCAGTTCGTGTTTGTCCCTTTCTTCTTGAGGGATGCTGCTGAGGCACAGCGTAGACTCAGATCATGAGGTGAAGACATAGTCCGCTGCTTTCAGGACGTTCATTCCCCACCGTCCCAAGTCTTCCTCTGAGGGGGTTGGTCCGTCTCTTTACCCTTATCCCTTGAGCTTAGCCACAGGGTTTTTAAGTGGACGGTCCTCCTGAGCCCTGCATGTTGCTTTGACTCATTGTGACATAGCTTTCTGAGGGTACCTGTGTTCCTAGCTTGGTTAATGGCATGACCCTCCTGTTTGGCTGGGTTCCCCATTTTTCCGATTTATGTTAGTGGCCTCGGGCGTCTATGGCTTGCCCCCTTTCTGAAGGAAAGTTCGGTGTATGTCTGTAGCTTCCCTTGGTGCTTTCTCACTGGGCGAACAGGTATGCACCACGGTATGGCTGAGTGGGCATTCCGTTCCCCATAGTGTCTGCTAGAGGATGCAGTGCAAGTTCCCTAGAAGGGGAACGTCTCGGGTTGCACATGTAACCCGAGAGGGAACGAGACGATACGTCCCCTTACCATGCCTAGGGCTTGCCGGTTTTCATGTCTCCTTCAGACAACCAAGTTGGTGACGTGTTTGGCAGGTGCATGCCCTCTTATACTTCCGGGTGCCTGTCTGCGACATCCCAGACTATGTTAGCCAATGGGATTGGAGTTGTTTCATATGTGCTTCAGACACCGGTCCTGCTGGTGGCAGTCCCCAAAGTGTCCGCTAGAGGATGCAGCATCTCGTTCCCTCTCGGGGAACCAGTTCACAAAACAGTTCAGAAATGGACCTAAATCAGTCCAAGCTTTTCTGGACTAATTCTAATGTAGATGCAAATTATGTAGGCTTTAAATGGATCTATGTTTTTGTGAGCTGAATCATGGATGCAACAAGCTGAATTAAATGCAAACAAGTAATATGTACCTGGAATATGTCAAGGACAAAATGGTGGCAAAAGAATCACTGAATCATTTTTTTAGCCTTTTCTTAAAATGAGAAATGAACAGTTTGAAAGAACTAATTCATGAGTTACTTTCCATTAGTTGATTCTGCCTAGTCTTTCCCAAGTCAGCAAGTGGCAAATCTTGCCAATCAGTAAGGCGAGGCACAGTCTAAGTCAAACACACATAATATTTTTGCAATTCACGTTGACATCTATTGGGTGTCTTGTCTCATCAGACTTTTTGTGCATCAGTGCAAACCGAGTGAAAGGTTAAGATCCATTTAAGATGAAACAAGTGATAGCCAACTGGGTCTTCTATTGTGTGATTGAAGTCAGCAGCTGAATATGGTGAACCTCTTGTGTTGAGAGCAGTTGTTAAAGACAGAGCACTGCCTGCAGCATGGATGAAAAAAAACAATAATATGTCCATTGTTTAGTTCTGATAATTACCATTTATATTTTGTCATTGGAGTTAATGTCTTCAGCTGTAACACAGCAAATTGTGATGTGCTACAGGACTGAATGGTGTCAGCATGTGTAAATTCTCCCTTGCTATATCTGAGCACTCTGGACTAGCTGTCCAAAACCTAAAAAAATGTGACCTTATCAGGCTGTGTCTGAAGGTATTACACTTTGATGCAGATCCATATGTCTGCAGTGAAAGAATAAGAAGCTGTACATTTGGAATCTTCTCAAAATGAGAAGCTGAAACTTTTTAGACAAGGTTCAAAGTTGATAACTTCAGAGCTTCGAAAAAATCCCTCGCTGTAAATCTGAGTTTTTGTTAAACGCTCTATTCAACTAAAATCTCCAGAGCTCAAATGTTCTCATTTTCCTGTAGTGTATGCCCAATTGTGCGTGTAGGTTCAAGCGCTGTCTCTGTGATGTGAGGATCTCCTTTCAAATCCTTATATCCCTTTTTCATTCCAACAATGGCAGCTCAGTGTCAATAAGACTGTTCCAAAATAACCTCAGACATTGTGGCAGAGGGCTGTATGTTTTTTTTAATTATGAGCCAGTAAAAGATCTCAGCCTAGTACACCTCTCAGCTGGGCTCTGCCATACTCGGTTTAAGAAGCGGTGACAATGTCAAACTCCCTTCAGGCAACAGGATACCAACGGTTACATTTTTCATTAAGTAGGCCCAGTCATGCAAGGATGCTTGCAGATCAGAAAAACCATAAAAAATAATAAATATATATTTTTATTTATTTTTAAATAATAATAAAAAAATAATAATAATAAAAGTAATTTAAAGTAAATGTTAAATGCAAGCGGCAACCTTCCGGTCTCTCTCTTGAAACCAACACGGAAGTGACTTAAACTGCAATTCATCGACTGGCCGCCAGAGACTGGCTCCAAAAGGGAGTCAATGTTTGCTTCAGTAGGTTGTTGCTATGTGGCTGCTAGAGTGTTTTCAGCATAATATTGTGTACACTAATTTCTAGTGTTGCAGTAGTTACTATCGTGTCCTGGGTTGTTGCTAGGTCATTCCTATGTAGTTGCTAAGGTGTTCTGGGCCAACTAAGACCAGCCTGGCCCATGATTCTCTGTCCCATAGAATGGCTCAAATATTTTTCTTTAATGTATGTTTATAGGAAAAACACATGAAAACCATACCAGAAGAAGTAATAGCAAGTCAGACAATCTGAGGAATCAATCATGTTCATAGTACTATTGGTACACATCTTTATTTGTCAATTCCTGATCCAGTTATAATGAGGATCATGAAATGAGCAAAAGCCATCCCATTAGTCATGTTGTAATACATTCGCTGTGCTGTCAGCCAAAGAGAATTATCTCCACTCTGGATTGGCACCATTTAGAGGTGCTCTTCCCATAACCCCAGTCCACATCTACTGTGACCCCCCCCCCGGCCAAGCCTGGGATGAAGTTACACACATAGGCATTCCAGTGATCTGAAGCCACAGGGTCTCTCTCAGCTGTAGCCCCCAGGGTCCGTCTGCTGCCCCTTTACTGTGTGTTTGTGTTAGTGGAAATAATAGAAGGTTAAGTGTG